GAGCCATGCCCAGAGATTGGGTGTGAGTTGAAACTATAAGACAAGCGACTAGTGAAGCAAGGTGAGTGAAGGACAAGTACCGGGGGTTAGAAACAAGGAGGGGTAAAAGTGAAGTTGGAGCGGGACGCAGAGGTTAAATAGGGAGACGGGGAGGCCTGAGCAGTAGCATCCAAACCCCTATCCACCCTGCTCGACGCAGCAGACAGGGCGCCGTTTATTATCCTCTGCGACGGCCATAGCATAAGAAAATCATGTGAAGAGAAGTTCATGGAGTTGTATTGCGTGGGCAGGATACTGTCAGGTTGCCCAGGCCTCGACAACAGAACGATGAGGGTTCAGAACCAAAGCCTTTGGTTCAAAGACCTGACAGGGACGCAGCGGAGTTTTAACACCGGGCTACAAAGAGTGGGTTTTATGGAGTAAGGAGCCACCTTTACTCCAAACCCCAACCTGGAGACTGTTTGTCAGGCCTCTAACTATTGACCAATCTGGTAAGAGTGGCTCTGAAGATGCAAAAAGCACCATCCACCACAGCTCAATGGATCGCTGAGGCACACAAACTATCGAACCACGTTAAAGTCGTCTCGTCGCGATGGTCCAAATTCGTTATAAAATAAGGGTGACAGATAAATATGGACTAACAGCGAGGTTGTTTGCGCAAAAGCCAATGGTAAAGTCGTTGTCACAGCCGTGTGTGGCCAGCAGATGGAAACACACACGGCCGAAGGTCACATGATCAACCATCGGACACTGGGATCCAGTCAATTGTTTCCTTTTGTACTGACGAATGAAAGCCAACATTGTTCCCAAGTTTATTAACATGTAGAGATGATGGAGAAATTATCGATAAGAATTGTTCGCCTTTAGCTTACTGCTTCTGTTTACTATCCTAGGATCGATTGTATGAGTAGACACTATCCATGTGGTAAGGAATTCATTTTGACATCTGTCACTAGAAGCGATGACAACATCCGTATTCTTGGTCATACGAATGGAGCCGGCTTATAATCCGGAGGTCACTGGTTCGTATCAGCACAGGTACGAACGATCACGCGGCATAGCAAGACTATGCGGGACTGTCAGTGGTCCCGGGGCAGCGAAGCGTCGGTACGGTGTTATTTCCAGAAGAATGGAGGGGAAAAGGTGTTGATAGGATACATCTCCGGCAGTGTCTAAGCTGCGGCCTAAGGAAGAGGACCCTGCAGTGGTAAAGAGGCCCAGTGACCGCTGACGATGTGCGTAGCTGCTATGATGGGGCAGAGAAGTCGGACCGTGTACAAGTGTCCCTTAGCAATACCTTGCAATCATGGCAGGTTGGGCTGGATGTTGTGATGCTGGTGTGTCCCTCCGAACTGAGCAATTTGCTTGCAGACGTTTCGTCACCAGTCGAGGCAACAAAAGATTGGCTGGTAGACAAAGAGCTTAGAGCGAATCCGCAGTCAATCAAGTCGCGGAGTTCAGTGGGTATGACAAATCCAAAAAAGGCATTGGTTGAGAACCCTAATCGTGCTCGCGTCTAGGCTTGGGCAACCTGACAGCATTCTGCCCACGCAACACAATGAATTTCCCTTCAAACAGTTTCTTGATGCTCTGGCCACCGCAGAGGATAATCAACGGTGCCCTATCTGCTACATCGAGCAGGGTGGATAGGGGTTTGGATGCAACTGCTCAAGCCTCCCCATCTTCTTATTCCCACACTTACGCTTTTTCTCGCTTACCGTCCCGTTCCAGCCTCACTTTTATCCCCCCTGCTTTCAATCCCCCAATTCTTGACCCTCCCCACCTTCCTTTTCTAGGTTTTTACCTTCTAGTTTCAACTCACATGTGAACGCGGAGCGTCATTCCTGTCCTGTCGACAAGCCCACGTCCAACCAAATGGCCAAACCCAGTTCATCGACTTCCATTTGGAGCCCTCGATCATCCTTTAGATTGACATGCTTTTCACATGCTGATATGGCTAGGAGCCGACCTCATTGGTGTTCTTGCTGTGAGTTTCTTTGTCCCACATCATCACTCTTAGCCTCCCCCTCCAACCACGATCTCAGTAGTTAGCATTTTATAATTTTGCATAGTAAATAATTTTTCTGCTGCACAGTAGCCGGCAGGTAGCTTACCGTTACCGGTAGCTCAGCCGGCTTGCACCTGTTGCATTTTATTCTCTGCGACACAGTAGCTGAGGTGTTTCCCACCGTTAGCTAAGGTGCATAGTGTGTGTCTGAGGCTGGATACCCGACAGAGAAGCATCTACGGCAGGAGCCAGTGAGAAAAACAAAGGAGAATACGAACAACGGTATTGTTTCGAGCTAGATAACAGGAGATGTGCTGATGTGCAGCAGCGATAAGCTCAAACATCATGAGATCCAGGAGAATACAAAATGAGGTAAGATGTGGGCGGAATAGATAGATAAGCGCCATAGTGGATGACACAGAGAAGAGCTTGCGTTAGAGAGAAATCGATAGCAGGGATGTACAACTAAAACAGTGGATTAAATAGTGACGACAACGTTCGGGTTGGCCCAGTTGTTGGTTCGAACAGTCTCGTAGAGCAATCGACTTCCAGGATGCGATGCGTTCAGGAACGCGTGACCCGATGCTTCCAGACTGCGCGACTACTCACTTTGAGCTGATTGGTAATGGTCAGTGGAAGTTGTCAAGACGGTGGACAAGGAGTGAGTCGGTCTAGTTTGAGACTTCTCAGTTAGACGACCGACATGGAACTCCAAACTATCAGAGAGGATGGGTGATGAAGTCGGAACATTAATATCTAGCGTTGCTTCTAGACTAGAGGCGACAGCTTCAATTTTCCGTTCCTCTTCATCTTCTTCTTCAGCATTCTCCAACCACATAAGCCATCGATTGACCTAGAGCCAGAAAAATCAGGGTGGGATCAAGTGAAATGTGGACACATCGGTACGGCGATCGAGGTGTCACGTGCCAAAACATTTAGACAAAAGAAACCAGTGAGAAAAAACTGCATGAACCCAATAGTACCTATCGCAAGGCCATAAACTGTGGTCATGATTAGTAGGATGCCCCACGGGTAAACCGCACACAGGTATTTCCACTTACAACAACCAGCAAGTGGCACTGACGAGTGGAAGGAGACGGTAACCAGCTCAATGGGTTACAGGACGTCAGATAAGATGGTTAGTCACATATTACGAAGCTTGGACAAAATACAACGGCAATAACTGCAGAACCGGAAGCGAAGTATTAAGCCGGTTTGGCATCTCACCGATAAACTCGAAACACTCTGTCCCCTTTACTCACTTGGTCAACCCAGACAGAAGAGAAAAGTTGGGATATGTCAACATTTCGATTGCTCTCCACAGAAGGACTGGCACTCATGAAGTTCAGATTCGTGAGGAGCAAACCGGGTTTCGTCCAAATCGAGACTGTATCGATCACATGTTTACATAGGGCCAATTGTTGCAGCACCGCCATGTTAAGTGGCGACCCAATGTTGCCGTATTTCTCGATATAAAAGGTGCCTTCGATTCGGTGGATCGATGTGCCCTTTGGGACTATCTGCTGAGAAAAGGTGTGCCCGATAAACATCAAAACGATGTACACGCATAGTTCGGGCAGAGTCAGGATTTATGTCAAACTGTCACCGCCCTTCAACAACTCCAGCGGTGTGAGACAGTGTTGGCCGCTGTCACCATTCCTCGTTAACTTCGCCATTGACGAAGTCATGGAAACAGTATAGGCTGGACACGACCTACAAGGTGCAGAGCTACTTCCTGATGAGCGACCATATAACGGAGTATAAGGACGACACTACCCATATCCATGAGAGCTACAAAACGTGCCAAACAACGCGGGGCCGATTAGCACTGGCTGTCAATTGATTTGGGCTATGCTTTGCTCTACCGAAATGTAAACTTCTCCAAGATTAGTAAGGACCCACCCCTGAGCTGACCATTAGTGGTGGTCAGCTAGAAGTCGTTCAGGAATCCAAATACCTGGGAAGCTATATTACCGCCCGTGTGATCGAAGCGGAGATTACGAACCGTACAGTAAGAGCTCGAGGTGCTTTCGCCAATATCCGCCAACAGTGGTGTAGACGCGACATCACTCTCGCCCTGAAGGGCAGAGTTTATAATGCAGCCGTCCGTTCAACCCTCTTATACGCTTGTGAAATCTATCCCATCAAATCGACAAACATAAAGAGGCTAACTACATTCGACCATCGCTGTCTTCGCAGCTTTTATGCCTGATGGGAGCACCGTGTCGCGTATTTGGTGCAGAAAGAGCCAGTGAACCGCTCAACACTTATATCATTTACCAGCCTCCGGTGGCTAGGCTAAGTCATGTGCACGCGCACCCACCGACTCCCGCGACTGGGGGGTGGATGGAAGAAGAGAGGTCAAGCGATGACTTGGTCAAGATGAATGAAGGCCCTCACTTCGAACATGGCGTCGGTCGGTGCATCCCGACTGTCGGACTGGGGTCCGAAGTTTCGCTGGACATACTTGTTGATATGGCGAAGAGCCAACCCCAATGGCGTTTATGTTGTGAGTTTCTTTATCCATTCCCCTCTCCTATAGATTACTACCCCAATCTCGATCTCATAGCTATGTAAGATAATATTTAGCGGTATATTACTCACATATTGAACTTTGTACTGTATTCTTTCTGTATTACGGCACATTAGTTGAGGTGTGTTTCTCACCCTTAGCTAACGTGTAGTTAGGATGATGACGCCTCAGTAGCATCCGTAATACATTTGGATAATAAATTAACGTATGTACATGTGGAAGCAAATTACTCCGGAAAATTATAGTTGGGCGATCAAGACCGGTGCAATCTGACAGACTGCGTCAGCTGCTTTGGCGCGCATAATATCGGCCAGTTTACGGCAACCAGTAATTCCTCATTGACTACCAGTATTTTCTAGTCACGGCTGAGCAATAAGACTTGAAGGCCTTCGATGGATCCACGTGATAGCCAGTCTTCACGAGGTGCGGTTCCGGCTATCCAGTTGATCTTTTCTTCCACGTTGTATCATGAATTGCCCCCACCATTTTGGGAAGTGTTCAGCCACCTTTGGGGACAGTCGCCGGTTTGTCCTGCCTATATAAACGTCACCGAATCTGCAATTGATCTGGTAAATAACGTGAGAGGCCAACCCTACTAACGAACTGTCAGGATGGTTGTTGAGCTCCAATCTCCATGTGGTGTGAAGGATTCGTAGACACACGATGGCAAAGGTGCGTGTCACACCAGACTTTATGACAAATTCCACATGAAACAATGTTCCTTTTGAACGGAAGAAATAAACAAACATCTTTTTTCTCCACCGTTTGTAGTGGCAGCTTCTGTTTGGTGGGTCTACTTTGAAACAATAAATTTCTCCGGATACCCGTTTGACAAAAGAGTCCTATGTAAAAACCATTCATCACTCTGCAGTATCTGGATTGCAAATACGGCTGGATTTGTAGAAAAGGGTTCTGACGAGAGCGCGTTTATATGTAACCGCGGCGAATCTGGTGAAATGCATGTATTGCCCACTCCTGGTTGGTGAAAACCCTATATTTACCGTAGACCAGGATGAGCCATAGTTACTTACAAAACATGAGTTCCGATTCGTCGAGCAGTGAAATGAAACATGGTTTTATTTTCAACAGTCAGTTAAAAAAGCAGTAAACTTTGAAGCCGACGGCTATGCTGGTAGAACTGTTAATCCAGTGAATTGCATTTAATAGATACGGAAAAATTAAAATGAAAGATAGCACAATAAAGTACCTCAAAGAGCGCATCTCCCTTGGCGGGATATGTGGGGTTGAGCTCTTCCCTCCAAGCTAAAAACGTGTTCTCGTCAACCAAGTCGCAGTGGTACAGGTTCATGAAGCAGCGAAGGAAAAATCCTGGAAGGTAAATGTTGAGAAGATATTGTGTAAAACAAATAGTCCGAACGGCAAAACAGAAGGCATATCGCACCTGAAAAACAGTGCAAAAGTGGTAAAAGGCGCTGCGATACACAAGAGGCAAAATATCCCGAGACTCACAAGCAGACGCGATTGCAATGTCCCATAAATTGAGACAGACTACCCGAAGAAGTCATAACGGGTTAAAGTGATCAAGTATGTTCAAGCGTGTCTCGTGAAAAACAAGAACAAAGTTGATTAATTTTTGTCCGCAGATGCTAGCGGTCAAGTAATAATAGTCTCACATCACCTCCAGAACACAATGACTAAATCGGTTTACTGTTCGACATAACCTAATAAACTGTAAAAACACAACTTTAAAAGTGACAAACATTAAGAAAACCAACTCGCACTTTGCGATGTGTGCACCGACACTATCGGCGATACAGTGACGTAGGAAAGCATAAGATTTGATCAATTCGAGCAAGCTTTCGGGGAAAAGAAGAGAACTGGTGGTGTGTAGGCTCAGTCAGAAAAAGGTATTCGAAATTTCAGGATGAGAAGTGTACACAGAAGTATGTAGCTTCTTACATGCTCGTATGAGAGCAACAAAAACCAGCACACTTTCACTTCCGCCAGCTGATTAACAAGGGAAGCAGAGGGATGGATCTCAGCTGCCGCGGCGAATTCAGGGGAAGACTTGTCAGCAGTATACCAGCCATATGAAGTGACGGTTCGTCGTCATAAAACAATGGTGAGCCGTTGAATGGAAAATAATAAGTGGGACCTGGTGTAAAACCTAAATACCCTGAGCGAACATGTAAGAGTAGGGCGCCTGCATCTCAACAACGCACAGGCACACATAAGTAGCTATCGAGAAAATGTCATCATCAAAAATCCTCACTGCTCCGCGGCACAAATAACCCTAAGTAGCAGAAAACCTATCAGTAGAAACACGAAACAGACAGTTCGAATAGATGACAACAAATGTGGTACTAGTGCCTGCTACGAGTTGCGTCTCATAAAACTACGACCGAAAGTCGAGGTGATCAGTATGGACACTAGCATGGAAGGCGAGATGTTTGTATGTTGGTGACTTTTTTCCCCGAGTTTTTCATCAATCTATGTCCGCCACACAGAACAAAGCCCCCATTGATAAGTGGTGGGCGGACATACCGAGCACGTACCGAACCAATGCAACTCATTCAAGATTGATTGGTGATCTCAGTAATGAACCTAACTACGATCGACTGGTACTCGGCTACACACATTGTCGTCACAGAAACAATGGTGCCATCCGACACCGTAAATGTTTTGTAGGCAACGTTGTAGGAGCCAGGTCTCACTACCATGGTGTGAATCGGACTCCACTTTGGGTCTGTAGGCGTGGTATTTCAGACCGATGGCGACGGATGTTGTAGACTTAAAAGTGCAATTGCAGTTGCCCGATAGGTGAATTAACTTCAGCAGCTGCATGCATGGTACTAACACACATCAAGATAGACAAATTGATCATTAGCATCCTCTTTGCTAAGAACAAAGGGGTCGTCAAATGGCCGGTGGTCCTGCAACGTTGCACTAAGAAGAGGCGAAGTGCATACCAAACGATGGGACCAGCACAGAGTTTTCTTATGGTTGTCTGTATCACCTCAAGACCCAAACAGTAAGTCAAGGTCATCCGCATAATTCGGGGCAACCCAGGTTTCCATTATGCAGCTTTTCAGTGCCTACATCGTGAGGGAATACTCCATGCTAAGATATACAAACAGTCGAACAAGAATGGGAGAGTTGGAGAGTTCTAGGAAATGTCACTTGCTATCGGAGAGGCCACCGCCTATTTGTCGTTGGCAATGACGCGACCTATGGTGTTCGATTACATGCACATTAAGTGACCACGTATTTAATACGACCATCTTTCCGAGCAGGAGTGTTGGAGAGTATGGAGAGAGTAATTAAATCGAATGCGCTCTCAAATTCCGAGGAGGTGGCTATGATGAGCCAGTAGTACGTGTGACGTTGTTCTGCAGCCTTCGGTAGAGTTAAAGCATGGTCAAAGTGTCCCTTTCTTCGGATGGAACCCGGCCTTCCATTCGATATGACAAGTGAGGCTATGAACTGTCGCTACCGACGTTTGACTAAAATTTATGTGGCAAGCACAAACGGGTTGGCTACTCATCTCGTACATTACTGTAATGACCATTAGGTCCCGGATGCCCAATTCCATCCACATCTGTCCGAACAGGTGGTGGAGAACATCTCTTATTAGCATTCTCCAATACATATTTATCCGTGTTCGCTGCATCGGCGACTCCACATGAGTGCAAAAATAATGAGAAGGAAATTTGGACGCGGTTAGTCCGACAAACGCGTGCAACGTACAACAACTACATCTAGTGACTAATGAGTTCAGTGTATGTAAACAATTATATCCGGCCACCGAAGTGCAGTGTATCCAATTGCGCATGCAGGCACGCCGATTCCCGCATCGTGCATCTTTTGCGCGACCGCTCTGGATGGCAAAAGAGGAGTAGAGGTCAAACGATGAATTGGCTAAAAGGAATGAAAACCCTCACTTCGATCCTGGCGTCGGTTGGTGTTTCCCGACCGCAGGGATGAGGACCGAAGAACGACGAACACGTTTGGTTGGATACATTTGTTGACATGGCGAAGAACTGACAACAATTGCGCTTGGGTTGTGAGGGTAATTGTCACATTCCATCCGATTGAGCTTCCTCCTCCTACCACGATCGCATATCATCATCATTAGTATACACGTTAGCTAGAGGCAAAAGACACCTAAGCTATTGTGCAACCATACATAAGAGAAAAACCTGCAACAGAGGCACGCCAGCTGAGCCATCAGCAACGGGTGGGCATCGATCCGGAGAGCTAACAGCCGGGTATGGTAATGTAAAATGAGTTATATTATGCCTAGGAAATGAGATCGTAGTTGGAGGGGGATAAGTGTCAATGAGATCGGCTCCTAGCCATTTCAACCAGCGTATCCAGCCAAGCATGTTCATCGTCCTTAGAACCCCAACCAGGGAGCCTAGTAGCTCAAACTGATGCTAAATCCGAACTAAGGGCATCCATTCCTCGTGACTAAGTCATCGCAGGACCACCCCTCCTCTTCTTCCACCCACAACTCAGGCGCGCAAACAACGCACGTCGCGGGAGTCGGTGGGCTGACATGCGTAACATGCTGCCCAGCTATCTAAGCCTAGTGCGTGAAATAACGGTGCGAGACGGCTCACTTTCTCTTCCTGTGCCACAAACAAGGCGTCGAACATGCTCATTGCTCACACGGTGTTCCCACTAGATATGAGCCAAACTACGAAGGCACCAGTGATCGAACGTAAGTAGACTCTTTAAGTCTGCTGATCCAATGGGCCAGATTTTACAACCGTAGAGTAGAGTCAGAGGTACGGTTGAATTGCATACTCTACCCTTTAGAGAGAGAGAGTGATACAGCACCGACCTCACCTTCGATTCAACGGTCGCTGATACAACTGCCCAAGTAGTTGAATTTTTGCACGATTTCTAGCTGATCCCCACCAATGGCACCGCAGGACGCAATCCCTGTAAATCTTGGAGGAAAGCTTTGCACTTCGAGAGTGTAAAGCATAGTCAGAAAGGACTCACAACAAATGCTAATCTGTCAAGTGCAGCGTGGCACGTTTGTGAGCTGTCGCAGGTGAGAAATGTAGTCAGCATGCTCCAAGTCAAGAACTGGCTCACTTGGGAGCAGTTCCACACACAATTCGTGTGCAGTGAAAGGGATTTCCATGACTCCGTCAATAGCGAAGTTGGAGAAGAACGGTGACAGCGGACATCCTTGTTTTACACCGCTGGAGACCCTCACTCTGCCCGAGCTACGTGGGTAAAGTGATCGCATAATATTTACATATTCCTTGGACACACCTTTCCTGAGTAGACAGTCCCAAAGGGCACATCGATCAACCGAAACAAATGCATCTTTGATATCGAGGAACACAACAGCGGTGGGCCGCTAATACATGTGACGGTGCCAAAACAAATGACGCAAAGTGAAGATGTGATAGATGTAGCCGCGTGTTCAAAGAAACCCGGCTTACTCTTCAGGAATCCGGCTTTCACGAGTGCCAGTCACTCTAGGAACGAGGACAGAGGCAAGCAATTTGGAGGCGATGGAGATCAGACTAACTTTAATATGGTTCTCGTACCATAAACGTGAGCCTCCCTTGAAAATTGAAACTACCACGGAGCGAATCCAGTTGGTTGAGTAGTTTCTTGCTCCCACAGTTTCACTAATAAGTCGTGTAAATTGTCCACAAGAGCACGGCTCCAGGATTGAAGAGGGCTGAAGGAAGTCAGTCTAGTCTCGCGACCTTAAGCAACTTCAGCAATCCGATCCACGTTCGACTTATGTGCAGAGGGCGGATCCAAAGAAACGGCTCATGCAGCAGGGCGATGATGGGCCAGTGAGAAATCTAACAATCCCTGTCGATTAAATTGCATTTGAAAGTACTCAGCCAAACGCTTCAAATGTTTTGAAAAGTTATGCGTAGGCTTTCCAGTCCAGTTAAATACAGTTTCACTAACATCAGGTCTCCTGTTGCCCGTTTTCTGTACCAAACGGAATAACTTCCGATGATTACCAGTGGCAGCAGCCAGTTCCATCTCTGATGCAAGACGAAATCACCAGGATTAACGATCTCTCCTCAGGTTAGCACACAATTTCGTCCTCTGGTCTTGCGAGTCACATTGGGTTCGTTTCCAGCCGTAATGTGCCGGTGAACATTGAGAAGTTCCAGAAACTGCGATAGACCCAATGTCCATGTTGGCTATTAGATTTACCACATGATGATTTACCTGCTGCTAGTGAGGTCTGATGAACTGTTATGTTCTACATGTCAGCGATTCCGGTTGAACTGAACACGTTCACTGCTAGCTCCGAACTCAAGCTGAAAATCAGAAGCCAACGCTTGGAGGCAAAAGCGTGTTGCAAACCAGCTACCGAAAC